GCAGGTCTTGCTGTTTACAGAGTCTGCCCAGGGAGCACTGGGCAGCTTTGCTGGCCAATTATATTATTTACTCTTTACAACACCCTTCAAGACAGGGATAGTCATCTCCATTTTATAGATGAGAAAACCTAAGCTTGGCAAGTATAAGGTCAAATGGCTAGCTACTACAAAACAGACAGAGGTCTCCAGCACCCCAAAGTCTAAGTTTTTAAGCATTATGCTGAGATTGTTGATAAGCTTTTGGAGGGTCATGACCAGGTGTGTGAATGCGACCCTCAGAGTAGGAGCCATTTTATCCCCTCCTTGGCTACTTTTTTTGCAGTATTTTTGGCTGGGGCTGGGTTTGAACCCGCCACCTCCAGTATATGGGGCCAGAGCCCTACTCCTTTGAGCCACAGGTGCTGCCCATCCTTGGCTACTTCTTATTGCAACCAATAAAGGCCATTTCTTTCATTGAAAAAAAAAATTATTACGTAGTAAAAACCACCATCCTATGGAGAACTTTTTCTCTAAGTCTGATTGTATTTTATCTCATTTTAATAGTGACAGAAATTCAGTGAGATAGCTATTATTGCCTTGATATTACAAGAAATAACCTGAGACTCACAGAACTTCAATAACTTATTCAAGGTCACAAAGCTTTTAAGTGACAGAGCTGGGATTTGATCCCTGGCTTTTTTATGCCAAAGAGCCCGAACTTAGTCAATACTCATTATTTTAAGACATGCTAACAGTTATGGTTTTTCATTCAAAATATTAGGGGATAAAATATTTTAAGCCACAAGCCAGTTGGCCATTGAACCCCCAACATTTCAATGTCTTTCCAGGGGAAATGTTCCCTGAGCATTTTGAGATCACCAGGATGGTAGACAAATCCATGCTGTTAAGAAACAGGAGGTAGAATCAGGTGCAAAAGTCAAGGGCTCTCAGAGCTGCAAAGAACACAGAAGATGGGAATTTAGATGCGGATGCTGAGTGGTTTGTCTGGGACAAAACCCAGAACCTCCTGAACATTCTCAGGCTCTTTCACGGTGTAACCACTCCG